GACTGCAAAATAAAGTCTTGGAAACCCTACTTTGATATTACAATCTCTTACTTTGCCAAATTGAGGAATGGTGCATTATTCAACACTATTCTTAATCTTCTCTGGTAACCTAACCATTTAATTCACTAATTCTATAAGAGTTAAAATAGTATGAGTCTTTCTTCATTTGTAAAAGCGAACTTTAAATCTCTTTCCAGAGAAATTTAATATTATTTTCTAATTAAATACTGGACAACTTACTGACAATCCCCTTATCAGGATAGTCAAACTTGCGTAAATTATTTACAAGTCTGTAGATTAAATCACTTGAAAATAGACTATTAAGTTTCCTTTCTGGGATGCATGCAAACTTCTATTTCAGCCGCCATATTAGGGAATTTTAATAATGCTTCCCTAGAGAGCACTTGATAAAGTGACCTTCTTATCTCCATTTTGGTTCTAGTTTTATGGTGTGATTTCTCAATACATTCTTTGAGTCATTCTAACCATACTTATCGATAGAATTCGGCTAATTTGATCTTTCACCAAAAAAGTTCACTTAGTATCTAAATTAGGTAAAATACTAATTTTTAAAAGATCTAACTTGGTTAATTTACCTGGAGACAATTTTCTTTGCCCTCGCATAGGCAGAATAACTATTACAAAAGATTATACTATACGTGGATTTTATATGTGCTGAATAAATGGTTTCTAGAATCTCTTGAAAGATCAGTGTTTGCTTGACTTACCTTTTGAGTAAGCTAGTGTCCTGAAGATATAAAGCATTGGCTGATTTCCTTTGGACTGCTTAGGAATGCTTTCTTGCACTGATGATGTCTTTCATATGGCAAATAAAGGTACAGCAAATTTTTACCTCAGCCTAAGGGGATTGTCTCGAGGACTGTATCAGCCTACACGACAGCAGACTGAGTGGAATCTACCGTCGTCTTCTGGTGAGATCGCACATTTTCACGTGAAACAAGATTCAGGTCAATTAAAATAATTTTACTTTCAGCCCAGTATTACTTTTAAGGTAAAGCGATAATGTTAGATTTACTTAAGACATTCACATAATGCTTTAATAGTGGGTTTAAAGACAAAGTTGCTTTGGCCTCTATTTTGGTCACAATCTTCTTTTCTTGTCGTCAGGAGGGCCTCGAAGAGCATAGGTTGTCCGGCTTCCTTTTTCATTGTATTCAGGATAATTTTCAGCATCAATCGTGGACTTACTACATTCTTCTCATGTGGGAGACTTGTGAGCTTAATTGCCAATAAAGCAATGCGGAAGTTGTCTGATTCGGTGAAAGAAATGTCATTTAATACCATTTAGGCGGACTGTATAGCATGGTCCTTAGGCTAATGGGTCACAGGACAAGCAAAATTTCTATATCCTTCTTTTCTCTCCCAACTCACCCTTTAGGTTTTGGATATTTATCCTTCTTCAAGTTGTTCAGCCATCGAGCGGTTGTTGGCGCTTAACCACCAGAATTTGGCCGATTTTCGAGTCGTATTAACTCAATGTCAAGGGACTGCTGTCCTGAATGAGCACCCGACTTGGCAACACTACAAAACCGCATCAAATTTACTTAAAGAATGTCTTCCATGCGGAAGACTAGAACGAACGCTAACTTGCCTTGAATCCGACACTAGTTTGGGAATTAAACTGTGCATGCTACGCAGAGATTGGTGGCTAGTTTTTACCTCCAATGCAGATTTGACTAGAAAGAGCAAAAGGGAACGTCTATTTTTGGCTGTACCTTTTTGCTGTCCTAATTACTTTAAGCCTTCACTTCGGGTTTTGTGCATAAGCGAACGCAAATAGGCACATACAAATACAAATACAGAGACAGACACACTCACGTGCATCGAAGTTAGCATATGACCTTAACTAACCAGATCACTTTATGTTTGATCAAAGAGGTCAGATGTAGAGTATATATACCACTTTTTAGGGATTTCCCGGTGAGTTTTCTTGACTCGTTAGCTCGAATTTGGTTGTGACGATGATACTTCGCTTTGATGATGTTCATCATATGACGCACGAAAGCTTAGCACCTCTTCACCGGAATCGAAGGAGATTGCCTCGGAAACAGCGTCAGCATGAATCTTGCAGTAAAACCAATCGACAGCTGGTCACGAGGACTCCGCCGTCGTCTTCTGGTGGAACCGACCTTCTAATCTCTTCACGCAACAATTATGAAACAAGAGATTCCTCGAAACCCAACTTTTTTTCGCATATAGAAAGAGCATCCACATGGGTTTATATACAATCTATAAATCATGCTGTGCTGGGAGATAAATAAGGGATTCTGCAAACAATGGACTATTAAACCCTCCTCTCTGTCTACTCCACAGTTTGCCCGTTAGAAGATTAGGTAATTATGTAGGACGAGCTATTGCGTAAAAAAGGTTCTCTATTATAAAACTAAGCTCTTCTTTATTCCCATTCTGCTGCTAGTTAGCCTGATTCTAGACCGAGGTTGCGGCTTGTCTTGGCAACTTTTATTGTGCACCGATGCCTGTGCAAGTTGGCAAGGGATCTGCATTCTATCCTACCCTTTTTTGCATTCCTCTCGGACACACTTGACAGGTTGCCGCACCAACAGGATATCCACTGCCGGCCCAGACGTCTGGTAGTCTGACCCTGCATAAATGGCCAGTCCTGGTTCAGACTTTAGGCGTGAATCTGCCTTTTCTTCGTGAGGAAGCTTTGTCGACTCGTCTCTGCATGAATGCTGAACATGACCATCTATTCGGTATTCCTCCCGCCTACACTGCCTCAGATTCGATGGCACTCTTTCAGCAGGGTTTTGTACTATACTTGCGTCATTATTCATTCACCAATTCATTAAGTGTCCCTAATTGAGTTAGCCTGGACGGGGAGATTCATCGACGCGGACAAGTTATTTGAGTATACATTTCCTCCTCAACTGGTCTACCTTGTCATTGTCCCATTGAACATGCATACAGTAACTGTTGATGAAATCTGGTCACTCAGGTCTTGACATGCTTCTGAGACGGTTTCGGTCTTTTCCCGGTTTCCTTCAGCGCCATTCGGTGAGTTGGCGAGAGTCTTGCAAACTTGTGGACCGAACTCTACAACAAGGTCTTTGGAGAATACTATTCTGAGCGAGAGGAACTGGTCGGCTCTATCGCTTGCCGTATATTTGACCTCAAATACGGCATTTGATTCTATTTCTATGACTATCCTGAAGTTAAGTAAAAATTCGATCGGCAATCTTTGCAGTGGCTTAAACCGAGTAGTTGCCAGCTCCTCTTGTTTTTCCTTTGGATTGTCTGTTTCTCCGAGTCATCTTTGCAAAACTTCAATGGGTAATTCGGTTGACAATGTTCCCTGAGAGTTTGCAGAATTTTTCATTATTTACTTTGGACGCTTTTAAAGTTGCGCCACAATCACTCATTTACGAAAAAAAGCCTATTCATCTGGTCTAAGATGGGCCCTAGACTGATCCCAATTTCTTGAGCATTATCCTTATCCTTCTCATCCTTATTGTTGCCATTGTTTTTACAATTATTATATTACTTCTTTAGGTCATAGCAGTTATTACCTTTCCTAGCTTTCGAAATTAGACTTTTAGAAAAATCTTGGTGCCATTCTTCAATTGCCTGAGGAAAAAAGCATTCTTATTGCTTAAACTAGTAACACTAGTCACTCTTGAGGCTAATTCTTTGCAAAAATGGCCTCGATCCGAGTTTTAAATTGAATTAATAAAGGCCCTTTTGATGAATAATCTCGGGAAGTTGATTTTTTTCCCCGTGACATATCTCTTTCTTTGGAGTAATGTTTTAATAGGTTATTGTTGATAGTTTCTAAAATTCGTTTAAGGATATGTTGAAACATTTAGTTTGTCTGTTTTGAGGAGGATTGAGGGCGGAAAAATGGACATGATTACCTCATCTTTTTGGGGGGATTTTGGATTTAACTTATCATGTACCTGCCAAAGATTCTCCACTACCCAGGCCTATCTCAGCACCACATCTTTAAGAGGGGACTAAAACCTCATCTATCTCTTCGGTCCATTGTGTATTGTCCCGATAAGCTTTGTTATAATAAATTTGTCAGCTGACATCAGTCTAAAGTCAATAGAGACTAGACTGATTGAAATAAATTTGTAAATTGTTTATACTTAAATCCAAAGATAAAATGCCGCAGAGTGAAGACTGTTGGGTTGTCCAAAAAAGTCCTCGTCTCATCATCCTGCGACTCCAATGAACCCGACACGATTCCCCTCGATTTCCGGCGAAACCAATTCACGAATTTCTTTCCAACCCATTTTTACCTTAAAAAGGGAAGTCGAGTCATGATGACTCAGTAAAGGGTTATTCGAAACTCAGTTTTTCTGCATATATACAAAGTCGTTGAGCTTACATCTATTTCTCACGTTAACACTCAGTCAAGAAGACTACTTGGTTCTATCTTACCTCTTAAATAGACTTAATGAAGTAAAAGAAAATTAACAGGCCTAGATAGATATAGATTGGTTTGGCTAATTATCTTTCATTCAAAGAAAACTTGGGATTCGACGACTCCCTTGTTTCATAATTGTTGAGCTTACTTCCATTTCAAATGAAATTGTTTGGTGAAGAGATTCGAAGGTCAGCCCCACCAGATTCCTCTTTACCAGCTGTCGATTGGATTTATAGGAAAATTCTTATTGACGCTGTTTCCAAGGTAATCTCCTTCGATTCTGGTGAAAACTCACTTTCTTGACTCGTTTGCATGAATTTGGTTGTAATGAAGATACTTTGGCTTGATGATGTTCGTCAAACGACTGATGAAAACTTAGCACCTTTTCACCGAAATTGAAGGATATTACTTTAGAAACGGCGTCAGCATGAATGTTCTAGTAAAGCCAATCGACAGCTGGTTAATAAAATCCGTCGTCATCTTCTGGTGGAATCTACCTTCGAATCTCTTCCCCCAACTACTTTCACTCGAAATGGAAGTAAACTCAACTATTATGAAACAAGAGATTCCTCGAAATCCAAATTTTCCTCTCATATATATACAAAGTCAATAGAACCAGAATAGGTTTGACCAGAACTGCTTGATCTAGTTTTTAATGTAATTATGCTTATTCTATCCTCAAGCTTTTCTTGAGTGCCAAATTATCGTTACTATCCATATTTTAACTCATTTAAAGCCAATTATGCGATTTTATACAAGAAGTAAAATGAATAATGTATTCTGCAAGTGCGAACAAGTTTGGCATTGCCTGAATCCTCTGTGGGATGGTTTAAAATATTAGAAACTCACAACGAGGAACTATTTATGTAATCTAAAGGGCTTTTTAAGCACGCAGACATTTGGCTTCTTCGTTCTGAAGAAGGTGGTTCAGCACTTTCTGTTATAAATTATTATATCGTGGGTGCATCTACTCCTGACTGTAATTAATTTACTGGTACATCTGTGAAAAATTGATGACAATAAAGCTGGTGTTGGAGACGTCATCCCTTAGTCTCATACAAATTTATTAAAATTTTTTAGAGATATTTTGATTGACAATTGTTGTGCCTACTTCCATTTTACGTAAAAGTGTGGTGAATGGATGCTCAAGCTAATTACACCAGGAGACGATGGAGGATTCCTCTTGGCCAGCTGTAGTTTGGCTTTGCTAGTATGTTCTGGTTGACACTGTCCTCGAGACAAAAGCGATTTTCCCATCGCCAACCAAAATTTTCCAGTAAAGCCAAAATACATTTGTCCACGAGGGAACAACCGTCATCTCCTGATGTAATCTACTTACAAAGCTCTTCATTAA